TAGTACGAGTACTAGTAGTAGTCGTCGTCGTCGTCGTAGTAGTAGGGGGGAAAGAGGGGGAAGGAGGGAGGGAGAAGGAGGACATGAGGAGGGAAACTGGGAGGACGAGGAGTGCAATGGAATGCATTGGGAGAAGGAGGGAGGCGATGCAGTGGGGAGGACTCCGGAGGAGCACCGAGGAGTGCAATGGAATGGGGAGGGACGGAGAGAGGAGAGAGGAGGGAGGAGGGAGGAGGAAGAGCGGAGGAAGCAGGAGGAGGAGTGCCATGGAATGGGGAGGCGCAGAGAGTAGTGCGATGGAGTGGGGAGTACTCCAGAGGAGTGGGCAGGAACGCGAAAAGCAAGATGGAGGGAGTTTCGAGGAGTGGGGAGGGATGCCGCGGAGTACAGTGAAGTGCGGAAAAAGGTACAGAGGAGTGGAGAGGAGTCTCCTTGGAGGCCTCTGGAGGATTCCTTGGAGGGCTCCTTGGAGACCCTGGAGGCCTCGGAGAGCCCAAGAGGCTCTTCGGCTGCTCCAAGGGGCTCTTCGGAGAGCCCAAGAGGCTCTTCGGCGGCTCCAAGAGGCTCTTCGGAGAGCCCCCGGAGGCTCTTCCGAGAGGCTCTTCGGTGAAGGGGGGGAGCAGGCTCTTTGGAGACTCCCCCCCCTTCACCGTATTCGTTGACTAAACCCTCTGAGCGAACCCTGGCCATACTAACACCCACTGACCCGCACTGACAACCAACGGGCCACAGTAACACCTTCTCTCGGGTACCTGGGGGGTGCCGACACCGGGGAGGGGGCCGGCACCGGGGGGAGGCCGACACCAGGAAAGGGGGGGGGCTGGCATCCGGGGGGGCGCTGGCACGGGGGGGGGGGGCCGGCACCCAGGGGGGGGCCGAAGGGGGGAGAGCCTCCCCGAATTAGAAAAAGGAGAGAGGGGGGGGGGCGGAAATTGAGAGGGGGGGAGGAGGAGAGAGGTTGCAGATCGAAGAGGGGGAGGGGGGGGCTGCAAAGCGAAGCTTGCCCCCTCGCCCTTCTTGCGAGATCGCTCAAGCTTCGCTCTGCAGCGGGGTGGGAAGGAAAGTGGAGGGGGGGAAAGGGGAGGGGGGGGAGGGGGATGGCCCTCCCCGAAGTGGAACGGGGAGAGGAGGGGGGGGGGGAGAGGGGAAAGATTGAGAGGGGGGGAGCGGGAGAGGGGGGGTGAAAAGAACCCCGCTACCCCCCAGGGGGAGCAGGAGGGGGGGTTGAAGAGACCCCCCCCCTTGCGTTCAATGAAAATGGTAAGAAATTTGACGGGAAAAACGTCCCCCCCCCTGCAGAGCGAAGCTTGAGCGAGCTCAAGCCCACGCTCTCAGAAACTCACACGCTGGATCGGCGGATCGTTCGAAGTGGGAATTCAGAAACAACGAACGCGTGATGTTCCTTGCCACCAGTGGGGGGGGAGCATCCCACGTTGTTCTGGACACGTATGGTTTGATTGCTGCAGTCGCGAAAACAAATATATTAGTGCGACGCTTCACTTCAGCAGAGGAGGAAGACGAGTGGGGACGAATACGTACAGGAGGAGGTGGAGGAGGAAGAGAGAGAGAGAACAGAAGGCGGAGGAGGAGGTGGGGGATAGGGACTAAGCCGAGTGCGGGGAAGGGGGTTGGATGGGTGGACTGAGGGGGGGGGGGAGGCAGAGGTCAGTTAGAAGGGGATCTCCTTCGCTGGAGGCTTTTCGTCAAGTTTCACGTGCGATGAACTCTTCTTCGCTGCATGCGTACGCGAAGAATGGCTCCTCGCGCGAATCGTGGTCATCAAGGGATGCAGTGGGCGCGTCAAATCAGCAAGCTGCATGCCAACACGGGCATCTCGGAATCATGTTGCTCTTCGACGGCCCGAGAGAGAGAACATTTTGACGTGTCTGGGCACTGGGTGAAGCGTAGAGATCGAGGAGACACGTCCAGCCTGCGACGCCGATTTGGTCCAAGTCTAGGAACAAGCTGTTGACCTCATACAGGTCGGGGTCGGTCGGGCTGGACGCGCCTTAGTGGTGCTGCAGGCTCCGCGGCTGGGCATGCAGGATAGGGGTCCTGGAGGAAAACGATGTCCTGGAGATGTGTCTTGCCGTCTCTGAACTTCCGTGGCACTTCTGGCCCCGGGTCCGTCCACAAGCCTGCTCAGGAAGGGCAGCCCGTCCTGTGGGAAGACCCGGGATCCAGGACCCTCTTCCCCTGGGCCGTTTCTCCCCTCATGCCCACTGCTTCGTGGCGAGCCCCCCCCCCCCGCATCCCCCCCCCGGTTTACAAGAAGATGGACGTCGCCGACTCGATATGTGCGTGTCCCTTTTTGCGCGTCGCCGCGTCGAGGCAGGGAGGTGCGCACTGCCCCTGCGATGGCAAAAAAGCCGCTCGCAGCGCAACGACGGTATATGGTTCAACGCGTGGCCAGCTGTCAAGGGCGTTGCCGTTTCCTCAAAGAAGAAGATTGTGCAGATGGCGACACAGGCCAAAAAAGACTTGCTGATGTCCGACACGGGAGTGCGGGCTCTGCTGTGTGCAATCCTTCGGAATGTTGAGCCTGGTGTGGGGAGTGGGCTAGCTTGTCTAGCGTTATCTCAGTGTCTGCTCATCTCCAGGCTACCCGTCATTGCCGCGAGCCTCCCTGCCGTGGGCATCAAGTGGGCCAGATTAGCTATGGGGCTACTCTTCAGACTCTGTAGAGTTGTTTACGGGTTGTCTGTTGCGTCTGTTCGGCTTCTCTCGGCCCCCCTGCGTTGCTTTCTGCCGCCTCGTTTGGGCTCTGAGTGCCAGCGGCGCTGGCTCTAGCTCTGGTCGACCTCCTGGCTCAGACGGGGGGGCTGTGCGGTGGGTTTCGGGAGCCGCCGAGGCGATCCTGGCCTGGAGGGTGCCCAGGTGCTGGCGCCAGTCTGGAGCTCCTGGGGCTCTCTGGGCGTGCGAGGTGCTCTGGAGGCTACCAGGGCCTTCCGGGGAATCTTGTGGACACGTTGGGCCAGGGGCACATGCGGCAGGCGGAGGAGCAGCAGGAAAAGGAGGAGGAGGAGGAGGACGAGGAGGAGGAGGACGAGGAGGAGGAGGACGGGAAAAATGAGGAGGAGGAGGAGGAGCAGGAGGAGGAGGAGGAGGGTAAGGAGGAGGAGGACGAGAAAGAGAAGGAGGAGGAGGAGGAGCAGGAGGAGGAGGAGGAGGAGCAGGAGGAGGAGTAAATTTGCTCTTTTCCGCCTCATAATCACTTAAGACATAATTTATTTGCATGCATTGCACTGTCCGCTGGAACTGACAGCTGCGCTCAGCAGCTGTATGACTGCTCGAGCAAGCCAACCTCGGCTTGCAGGAGAGAAAAGGAGTGCGCTGGGGCGCGCGGGCGGCTCGTCGTCGTCCGTCCTCGGCCGACCTCCTCTCTTCACATTCCTGATAGAGTAGTCTTGCTTAGCGGATACTTGTCTTATCAATGTCTCATCCCGTCCCCTCTCTCCCTGAGCAGAGTGAACATTAGATCTTAATTCCTTTGTCATCTTACCCCGATTATCAGAGGAAAGACTGGTTACCAGCCGAAACTCGCGACTCAGTCGACGCGTCGCCATCAAATGCAAAAGAAGACCCTCCAGCTGTGCCCCGCGACTCAGTCGCTGCGGGAAAGAGCTATGATAAGACTGATATCGTGTCCAATATCTCGAGAAGCACCGATAGGCGCGCTGTACAACATGATGGACACGACGCAGACACAGACGGTCCTGTTCAGGACCGAATCCCTCCTTTATGCATTGCCACTCGGGTAGTGAGGGGAAGAAGTACCGAGGGGATAACCGAAATGTCGGTAGACGTATCCCCCGCGGGAGCTCCGATGGGTAATCGTGAGTAAACCCCGGACCCGCACGGGCGAGATGGCGTCACATCAAGACCCAGACGAAGTGCGACTTCGTCATGGAGTGCCAAATCGACGGAGTCAATCAGCTCAATTCCGAATGCTCCACACGCTACTGCTATTGCCGCTGGTGAAGCCGGCCGGCCAGGGGAAGTCCAAGGGAATATGATTACGTATCCTGATATCCCGACCGAATGGGTGGGCACGAGTGTCAACGCCCCAATCCCGATAGCACTTAACGGACAATTCGGTCAGGACAGTGATGACCCAATAAAAAAATATCACGAAATATCTTCCATGGACCATGGAGGAAGATTTCGATAGCATCGACAATGATATCCCCCTGAGCCGAGCATTGTCCGTGATGATGGAACGAGACATCTTTGCTCAAGACGAAAGATGGTCTCCAGATGGATCCGATGAAGAAACTAGTATCCTGACGCTTCAAGCGGACAGGGCGGAGGCTCAGATGAAGCATGGGAGGGGGCCCGCAGGACGAACCCCTGCGCCTCACCTCAAGAAACAACGGAGTGAGGACTACGAGCTAAACGTGGCACCACTGAAGGAAGGTTTCATCCGTAATGCCACCACCTCAGGTGATTGGCAACCCTCGATTCCAGCTGTTGTTGAGGATGAAGAAATGGTCGGACAACCAGCTACGCATGCTCAGCTAATAACACAAGACGAAAAGGATGAGGAGTTCTCAAATGCGCCTAAACCACCAGCAAGTGCCTTCATTCGCCCCAGATCAAATGCTTCAAGCAGGGGGAGACCCAAGATACCAAGATCAGGGGCGAGATCTACTTCAAGGGGCAATAGTACAGTTTCTATGATGGGGGCACGTTGGAACCCCAACCCTGACTGCGCGCCTCAGGCGGAGAGCAGATGCCCAGGAAAAGCCAACAGGCCAGATGGCGCATGTAGGAACCCAGTTTGCAAGAGTTGCTCGGGCGTTTGCAACAGGTGTAACATACAATGGCTGCGCACGGAGCGTTGCCCAATGAACGAGCATAACTGCGCGCATCTCCTCATGCAGTCTATTCAGGACCAGGCCAGGCTGGCGGAGGCTAACACTCAGAGAGAGTTTCTGACCAATGAAGCGCAGCTGGCCGAAAGGGCTCGATTGGACAGAGAAGAATTAACTGAAACTGTGGTCGAAGCTAGAAAAACGTTCGAGGCTGAGCGGATCGCCCTAGCCATGGCTGCTAGAGAGCGGGAACAGGCGCTGATATAACATCTGTATAATCAGACCGAGGCCGTTAAATGGCAAGTGGAGGGGGAAGCCGAAAATAAATACAGAGAGTTATTGACATCGGAGAGACAGGCCGCCATGCAAATATGGAATCTGCTGACGCCAACGCGGTTGCCGCTGCCGTCGCGGTGGCCAGGATAGAAGGAGAACGCATCGCGACAGTCATGGCGGAACGAGAAAAACATGGCTTACAAGAAGAGCTCAAAAACGCCAGGCTGGAAGCAGCCAGCACCCAAGCCGTAGCTGCGAAGATAACCAACCAGAACAATATCTATATGGAAGAGCTTAAATCGCATAAGGAAGCTAGATCTTCCCTCCAGCGCGTGACTTCGAGCAATGCTAAATGCCCGCCGGCTAAGCCGACTAGAACGAACATGCACCAGTTGTCGACGGCTCAGTCGTCTGACATAGTACCCGTCCCAACGCGATTTGATCAGACGACCTTGACAAATGCGGGAGCATCGACCCTGCTGGTAGGTGGCGCAACGTATCCTCATCCCGAGGAGAAGGGGAACACACTTTCCGTGGATCAATGATGTGCCGTTTGTTTTCATCTAAAGACGGACAATTGCGTCGGATGTGGTTGGTCGGCGTGTGAAGAACTTATCGATGCGAGCACTAGAAGATGCTCTAGATGCGACCTGCGGAAGAGTGAAAGGTCAGCTGCCAATATGCAAGAAGAAGAGATTGTTTCGAACGCAGCGTTCGCAGAGAAAGGAAAGATGAGGCTTGAGGCTATCATCGCCGACCCGACTCCATGCGCTGAATTCAAACGAGATGCCGGATTCGCATTGAGTTCGTTCGGATGTCCGTTGTTTTCGCAAGAAACTCCCGTGAGGCCGCTATTGCGTCAACACTTTACCATTCCAGGCCTTGTCCTAGAAGGTCCGGCGAAGCCGAGCACCGCCGAGAATGGACTTCCTGTAGGGATTACGCTAACTGGACCTACCGAAGATTACTCTCGCCAATTCCCGCACATCCTATGGAGATGGCCCTACGGGAACGACGGCGACTAAGTCGTCGGGCGAAGCAGGACAGGGCGGAGAAGGAGACGACAAGTGCGACGCTCCTAACAGTGAGATCGTATCTTCGCATGAAGATGATCGTGGCAAAAGACCACGTGGGTCGCCTCCGGGAAGCCCAGGGGGATCAGACCCCTCTGATGGGGGGGTGGACGCAGGGTGCCTCGGGGCCCTGGCGGACCGCACGACTCGGTAGTAATTGACGAAAGCACGCCGTTGGATCAGTGGAGACAGGTTGGTAACAACGAGAAAATTGATTTGGTGGACATTCCTGATGTAACGAACATTCGCGAGTGGAAAATTCACGCAGCACGCGCAATCGCTGGATCATCGCCCGAGAGCCAGGCAGCACAGCACTGGATTGCTGAGGCTATGGATCCAGCTGTGGAGGATGAGCATCTCAAAGACGCAGGGCGATTCCAGCGTCTCGACCTCATGATCGCAACGAATCTTACAGAAAAAAACAACAAGATGCGAGAGAGTCGATATCAGCCTGGTCATCATACTCATTTCCTCCAACAGATTACTCGCATGGCAACCAGCGCCCAGAACGAGGGGAGACTCATGACTGGACGCGAGATGGTGCGAGCAATTTGTCATTGGTGTTCGGTCAGATCGGAGTTGGGACAACGTCGCATTTCACGTGACCTCTTCATGGTGTTCATTGACCCGCACAAGCCCGATGCTGACCTGTATCATTTCTACAATGAATGGACAGACGTGTATCAACAGCTTTATGGCGCTAAGTCTCCGTCCGATGAGATGAGGGCCTCGATTCATGTGCACTTTCTCGAACAATGCAGAAAGCCGAGCAAACTGAGCTTTGTATGCCAGTTATACGACTTGTCAAAAGATAAAATGGGACATGGCGCAAAGACTTATGAATGGTTAATGGAGCAGATTGAAGACATGATGTTGCGAGAAAAAGAAGAGTGGAACATCAGCGTGCATGAGGGCACCTTGAACCAACGTGCTAGGCATGCGCGATTCGGCGGAGGCGGAGGCAATGACCACCGGAAGAATGCAGGCAGTAAAGCCGCCCCGGCAGAGATTGCTGCTAAGTTGGGGAAGCCCTCAGATGTCATGAAAAGCGGGAAGACTAAGGGCGAAACCACGTGCAGATACGTGCACAAGGGCGAAACTTGCCCGTGCGCAGGAAAGGGCTGTCCCTTCAATCATAAGAAGCCCAAGAATGCCGCACCGGCTCAGCCGAGTGCGGGGCGAAAATCCAGTGCCGCTCCTGCCCAGGATAAGAACCCTAGAGGGAGATCGAAGGACAGGGGCCGAAAGGGGCAGGGCCGATCCCAGACCCCGACTGGCAACCGTGGGAAAGGAGGACAGCAGAAGAATAGAAGTCAGTCACGTGGGAAAGACAGTAT